AGGACAGCTGACTCCTCCCTCAACCCGGCTCTCCAAGACCAGCGTGGCTCCTGGTGGCTAAATCTGGTTTGTTCTTGCGTTACATTCAGCAGAATTTGGGCCAGCTGACCAACATGTCTCTCAAAACTTGGTCGACCCCAGTGTCATCTGGGGCAGTTGCTCTTTTTTTCCTCCTCATCTGGTATCCTCTTAATCTCCCTGTCTGGTCTCTCTGCTCTCCTCAAATGTGGGCCCAACTCTGTCTCTTCCTGGACACCTGTTCTCTTTGTTACACACATGTTCTCAAGGGCACTTCCCTAGTAAGACTGAGATCAGCAAGGTGGGGGATTAAAGCCCTCTCACGCTGTGACAGGGTGTTGGTCAATGGGCTAAACAGAAAGTAGAGGCCGGCTTCTAAAGGGAATGACTCACACACAATTAGCATGGTGCCTATCTCTCCTTGTATCTGTCTGGCCTAGACTTCACCGTAGGCCAAGCTGACAACCCCTCTTGCCTCAATCTTCTTTGAGACAGGTGTACAGGTGTGAACCACCTTGTCCACCAGGCCACACTTGAGACTGGGTTTTCAGAAGATCACTTGCTGGGAACCCCTTGGATGGCTCAGCAGGTCAACGCACCTGCTACCAACCTTGAGGACCCAAGTTCACTCTCCAGGATCCACACAGTAGAGAAAACAAACTCCCTCAAGCTGTCTCCAACCTCCACACATGTACCGTGACATGCGGAAACACACACACTGAAATAAAAATGGACTAATTATCCCTGGCTGTTTTCTTTAGAGAACGGACCAGGAACAATGAGGACACGTGCAGACATGGTACCCATGAGGCCTTGACACCCTCTGCAGGAGACAACAGCAGCCTGGCCTGGGATGTAGCCACAGCCCTGGGAAATTACAGAAAGTGGGAGGGTGGCTGAGGAGGAGAGTTGAAAGAAGAGATGAAGGCACGGAGATGGAGGAGAAACAAGAGTCAATGACTCCTTCGTGGTGTCTGGCTGGGATCCAGGCTCTGGGTGCTGTCTGCAAAGACTGAACGTGAAGGAACCTGTGTAGAGCTCGGTGTACTCACTGGCACAGTCACGTGATCCTGTCAGAGCTCCGCCTAGCAGACTGCAGGCTCCTCTAGACCGCTCCCCCACAAATGGCTTACCCTCCCGGACGCTCTCCCTAACATAAGATACCACTGACTACCCAGGGGCTAACCTTAGGAAGGTCTGGGGAGACTGTCACCAGAGCCTGAGGACACACACAGAGTGTGAAACACCATCTGGGAACACGCAGACCCAGCCACCAATTCAGGAGGAAGCCGACAAACTAGCAGGTGTGTCAGGTAAAAAGAGGAGCCGAGAGAAGACAACATGCTCTTAACAGTGGTTAGCTATGAAGTTCACGGGATTTTAAGATCGTATCTTTTAGGATGCATTTGTCAATAATTAACTATTCTAATCACCAATCCTCCCCCAGGAAGGAAGGTAGATTGATTTTATTTATTTATTTATTTATTTTTGGTTTTTGGTTTTGCTTTTTTTTTCTAAGGTCTCTCCATGTAGCCCCAGCTGTCCTGGAACTCGCTCTGTAGACCAGGCTGACCTCGAACTCACAGAGATTCACCTGCCTCTGCCTCCTGAGTGCAGGGATCTAAGGTGTGTGCCACCACTGCCCAACAGTTGCTTTTTTTGGTTTTTGTTGTTGTTGTTTGTTTGTTGAGATTAGGTCTCATTGTAGCTCAGGCTAGCCCCAAACTTCAGAGTCCGAGTCATCTTCCTTTCTCAGGTTTCAAGTAGTCGGGGCTACAGCCTGTGGGCCTGTGTGCTGAGCCATTGGTGACATCACATTCTGTCACGAACCCTGATTTACTTAGTGAGACTTTGGTGTCTCAGAATCTCTTCAGCGTGGGAGAAGGGATTTAGGAGGGGCTGGGTTCAGGCTTAGGTAGGAGTGCCCCAGTGAGTCGGATAGAGTCAGATGTGTGGCTCAGAATCTCTATCTGCTTGGTCTCAGCCACATTAGGGATGCATTTGAACTTGTCTGGAGCAAGCATTGGTGCCTGAGCATTTCCTGAGAGCAGGCAAGCCTCGATCTGTTTGATCTTTTCGTCCCCTTCCTCCACCCCTGACTGGATCAGACTCCAGGCAGAGTTGCTATATCCAAAGTACTCAGCTTGGGCGCTTTCCTTTATTTTGTGGCAGGGTTTCTCTGTGTAGCCCTGATGTCCTGGAACCTGCTTTATATACTAGGCTGGCCTTGAGTTCACAGAGATCCACCTGCCTCTGCATCTTGAGTGCTGGGGTTAAAGGACAAATCCAGGACAGCCAGGACTACACAGAGAAACCTTATTTCAAAAAACCAAAACCAAAATAAAAACAAAAAGGCAAACACATACATAGACAAAAACCACAACAAAACAAAACAAAAAAAAAAAACCTGTTAACTTAAAGACACAAGAAAAGACTTATGATCTGAGGTTAGGTTTAAAAAGAACAAGATATGACCTTTTTAGACCATAATGGTTAAGAGGTAGAATTGGTTTTGTTGCCTGTGGAGTTACCTGTGGATTGGAGTCTTGTCTCTTAGTCAGGGTGACTATTGCTGTGGTCACGAAACACCATGACCGCAGCACTTGGAGAGGAAAGGGTTTATTTGGCTTACACTTCCTCACTATAGTCCATCACTGAAGGAAGTCAGGACAGGAAGTCAAACAAGGCAGGAACCTGGAGGAAGGAGCTGATGCAGAGGACATGGAGGGTGCTGCTTACTGGCTGCTCACATGACTTGCTCAGCCTGCTTCCTTATAGAACCCAGGACCACCAGCCAGAGAGCTAGTGCGGTGGTTCCCAACCTGTGGGTCATGACCCTTTTGGAGTTAAAGGAACCTTTACAGGGATCTCATATCTTTCAGCGTGCATATCAGATATTTACATTATGGCTTATAACAGAGGTAAAGTTAGTTATGAAGTAGCAAAGACATAATTTTATGGTTGGGGTCAGCACATCGCAGCATCGGGAAGGTTGGGAACCACTGCTCTCGCAGCACCTGTATTTGTCTAACACCTGCTGGTCTTTCTGTTCACTGCGGGATTACATCACCTGGGGAGGTCTCCCTACGATCTTTGTACACCCCTGGGGCAGTGGTTGTGCTTGTTTTTACTGACTTCTGCACCATAGCATTTACTCAGAGCTTAAGAAATGCTTGTTGGAGCTGGGCAGTGGTGGCGCACGCCTTTAATCCCAGCACTTGGAAGGCAGAGGCAGGTGGATTGCTGTGAGTTTGGGGCCAGCCTGGTCTATAGAGAGTGTTCCAGGATGGTCAGAAGCATTTCACAGCAAAACCCTGTCTCAAAAAACCAAAAACCAAAGAAAGAAAGAAAGAAAGAAAGAAAGAAAGAAAGAAAGAAAGAGAAACAGACACACGGGGGGGAGAGAACTGTTCCCACATTACTTGCCATGCATCATGAACTTCCTGACCACAGCTGTCCCTCTTCTCTTTCCCAGAGCCTCTGGGATGTATCCTGTCCTCTGTCCTCACGGGCCCAGCTTGGTTCAGCCCCATCATCTCTCTCCTGGACCTCTCTTCAGCATCTTAGCCAGTCTCTCCGCTGCAGATGCTCTTTGATGGATCTCACACCAGCATTTTTTTTTTTTTTTTTTTTTTTGGTTTTTCGAGACAGGGTTTCTCTGTGGTTTTGGAGCCTGTCTTGGAACTAGCTCTTGTAGACCAGGCTGGTCTTGAACTCACAGAGATCCGCCTGCCTCTGCCTCCCAAGTGCTGGGATTAAAGGCGTGCGCCACCACCGCCCGGCTCACACCAGCATTTTAAGGTGCAATCTAAGCCACAGAGTGATCACTTCTTGATTTGGCCAGTGGCTCTCTCAATCTCACACCTGGAATTCGTCATCAAGCCCTGTAGAACCTCCATGGTTCAAACATGCAGCCTCCCTGGGCTTCCCTCCTGGGGAGCCCACTCTTTTGAACCGTACCCCTCAAGACACACAGAGAGCTGCACAGACATTTAGATGCATGGCAAGGTCACCACATATTCAGATCACAGTGTGGGGAGTCTTGTCAGGTCATAATGAAGGAAAGGGGCTGGAGCCACAGAATCCCTTTCAAGTCCCTAAGAGCAAGCAGCCAGAGGGCCAACAGGGTCCCTGCCCAGCGTAGGGTGTGTCTGTGCCCTAGCTGGGTTGTGGTTCAGGATGACTCCCCCTGCAGAGCTGAAGATTAGCAATTAACTGGAAGGAATCTTGGGGATAAAGTTAATTTAGGGGGGGAACAGACGGAGGGCAGCTAAAGTTCTAGGGACTTTGCCCTTGACCCGAGGGTATAAAGAGGAGGGTCTTGGTTCTTCTTTAGATTTCCCCAAGCAGCCGAGCAGGAGCTGAGACTCAGAACCTCAAGGTGAGCCCAGGGCCCCGGTCCTTAGACCAGCCCATCACCCCAGCCCTGTATTTCTCCTCCTGCTCCCTATGACATCCCGATCCCAGCCCAGGCTGCTTTGGCCCACCCCACCCCCATCAGGAGCTAGACCCTGCCCTGCCATGGGACACTCTAGTCATAGCGGTACCTGCATTTGTCCTAACACCTGGCGGCATTTCTAGTCTCTGAGAGATTACATCATCTGTAGCTGTCTCCTTGCTAGACTTTGAACATCCCAAGGGCTGTGGCTTTTTTTCAGTTACTACTGTAGCCCAGTATCTAACTCAGAATACTACACATTCGAGAAATGCTTGTTGGGACTGGGGCTGTGGCTTGCCTACTAAGCTGAGGCCCTAGGTTCCATTTCCAGCACTGTAAAACAAAAAAGCTACAAAAACCTTGCTGGCTGGATGAATGCCCTCTCGGACCTGTGACAGCACCTGGGTGTGCATCTCCAGGTGTGTCTAAGGATGGATAGACTCCCTTCAGTTGGATGTCATGCGAGTGTGGGTACCACACACAGCAATTGTCAGCTTTGTTCTAACCTCTTGACACATAGGACTCACTGTGGGTGCCCAGCATAATGTCCTATGGGGACAGAGTGGGGGGACCGGCTGTCTCCCCGCTTCCAGTCCGTGGGAGACACATGGTGCATGGGACAGCCTTTGCTTATGTGCCCAGCCCACAAGGTAAGTACTGTTCCCATACCCTGAGTCCCGTTTCCCTCTCTGTCACCTACTCCCCTCTACCTGTCTCTCCTGGGCTCCTGGGACCTTTGGGAGCTCCTAATCAGCCTCCCTACTCAGTCCTACACAGGATTCCAGGGACATCCACCTATGCATTCTCCAGTCTAAGCCCAGTGACCCTCACAGAGCACAGTTGTCCCTATGGGGAGGTCCTAGAATGCCATGAGCCACTACCTGCCAAGTTGGCCCAGGAAGAGGAGCAAAAGCCAGGTGGGCCAGGTTGCGGGGCAGCAGGGTCATGGGTAGTCACTGCCCTCACACACTGCCCACTATACTTATGCCTGCCCACCTCTAGAGTCCAGGCTGCTTCAGAAGTTGCGCCAGGCTGGTACAAAGCTCCTCAAGGTCCCGCTGATGCTGGGCTTCCTGTACCTCTTTGTCTGCTCCCTGGACGTGCTCAGCTCCGCCTTCCAGCTAGCCGGAGGTAAAGCCCGGTTGAGGAGGTCAGGGGAGGGGTTCAGAAGGATCTCGGATGATGCTCGCTTGTGTTCTGCAGGGAAGGTGGCTGGTGACATCTTCAAGGACAACGCCATCCTGTCCAACCCAGTGGCAGGGCTGGTGGTGGGGATTCTGGTGACAGTCCTGGTGCAGAGTTCCAGTACCTCAACATCCATCATCGTCAGCATGGTCTCCTCTGGCTGTGAGTTGACCCAGCATGGTCAGGGATAGAGCCCAGAGGCCTGGAGATTCAGCACGAGGGCAGGAGTGTGGATAGGAGGTTGAGGGAAAGGCGAGGGGGGCAGGGGATGCCCCAGAACCTCCTGTATTGTCCTGGAAAGCAGGCTAAGAGTTGAGCCAGGGTGTTCCAGGGATTGTGGAGAGTGGGAAGGGAGAGGACAGCTCCTGATCCCACTTCTGTTCAGTCACATAGTCACTCAGGAAAGCTGGAGAAAACCAGTCTGTAAAAACAATCACAAGAGGAAGAGACAGAGGCAGAGACAGTTGAATCTCTGTGAGTTCAAGGCCAGCCTGGTCTACAGAGCGAGTTCCAGGACAACCAGGGCCACATGGAGAAACCCTGTCTCAAAAAAATAACTAACTAAATCATCACACACATGTGATTTACTGCAAAGAATTGACTTTCACCATTGTGTGGCTGGCTGCTCATGTCTGACATTTACAAAGTCAGCATTTGAAAGAGCAGGCTGGGATGTGTTGGCAGAAACGGATCCTGCAGGCCACAGGGAAACTTTCTTCCTCCAGGAAGCTTCAGTTTTACACTTGAGGCTCTTTTATTCCGTTGGATGAGCCTGCCCAGCTCATCAAGAGCAATGTCCTTTACCTGGGGCTAGGGAGTCTCCGTGGGGAAGCGTGCTCACTACAGGTGTGAAGGCTTGGGTTTGAATTTCCAGAGCTCACATAAGAAGCTGGGCACTGCTGCATACACACAGGTGCGCGCGCGCGCACACACACACACACACACACACACACACACAGAGAGAGAGAGAGAGAGAGAGAGAGAGAGAGAGAGAGAGAGAGGAATAATCTTTACTTAAAGTCAATTGAGTGCTACAGGTTAGTCAAGTTGACACATATAACCAACTACCACACTCGTGTGAGGTGCACCTGCACAAATATGGATTGCACAAGGTGTGAGCTCTCATAATGCACTCACGTGTACACATTCATCCTGAATAATGCCTGGGTACGCCCTGTATGGTGTGTGCTCATCTGGTCACATGTGGATATGTGCACACACGTGTAAATACACAGCTCGTGCACATGTGGACCTGTGAGACGGAGTCTAGGAAGTCAAGAGCATACTTGGAAACGGCTGTCTGGGGCTAGCACACGAATCGTGGGCCTGGTAGAGTTACTGCAGGGCAGAGCCCTATGGCCGCAACCCAATCATTTGAGAGGTCCCTCTTCTACCAGTGTTGGAGGTGAGCTCTGCCATTCCGATCATCATGGGCTCCAACATTGGAACCTCGGTCACCAACACCATTGTGGCCCTAATGCAGGCAGGGGACAGGACTGACTTCCGGCGGTGAGCTGGGGAAGGAGGGTGGGGGCTCATGCTTGTTGGGGAGAAGGCAGAACTGGGTGCCAGGACCCAGCTTGGGCACACCTTGAGTCCAACTGTCCTGCAATGTGGTGTCCTTGCTCAGGGCTTTTGCAGGGGCCACAGTGCATGACTGCTTTAACTGGCTGTCTGTTTTGGTCCTGCTGCCGCTGGAGGCTGCCACGGGCTACCTGTACCATGTCACTGGGCTCGTGGTTGCCTCCTTCAACATCCGTGGTGGCCGAGATGCCCCTGACCTTCTCAAGGTCATCACAGAACCCTTCACGAAGCTCATTATCCAGGTGAGGGCAGGACCTGGCGTGGGGTGGACAGATGCGGGCTAATAAGTGGTCCTACCTTCAGCTCTGTGTCATCGCCCTGGCGTGGGGTTGACATATGCGGGATAAGTGGCCCTACCTTCAGCTCTGTGTCATCTCGCTCACAGCTGGACAAGTCTGTCATCACCAGCATTGCCGTGGGGGATGAGTCCCTGAGGAATCACAGTCTCATCCGGACTTGGTGCCACCCAGACCCACCCGAGGTGAGTTCCAGAGCCAAGCCTAGGGAAGAAGATGCTCCCTTTAGACCACCTGCCTGTTGGTTCCATAGACCCTGGAAATCGTTTTGCTTGGGGTGAGCAGATAACGTGGAATTTTTCTGTGTCAGTATACCCATGGCAGACGTTGGTAATCCCTCCTAACTGCACAAACCGCGGTAGGCAAATATCTGAATATTAGCATTGGCATGTAGTTGATCTGGTCCAAGGGTGGTGTTCTCTCTCTCTCTCTCTCTCTCTCTCTCTCTCTCTTTCTTCTTCCTTCCCTTCCCTTCCCCTTCCTTCCTTCCTTCCTACCTTTTCTTTCTTTCTTTTTTTTTTTGGGGGGGGGTCGTTGTTCTGTTTTGTTTTGTTGGGTTTTTTCCGAGACAGAATTTCATGGTGTTGCCCAGGCTGGCCTCCAACTCACAGAGATCCACCTGCCTCTGTCTCCTGAGTACTGGGATTAAAGGCGTGCACCTCCACTAGCCCCACCTTGGACCAGTGGTTTTCAAAGAGCTATTGTTCCCAAGATTGACAGCATCCAGTCCTACCTGGGAGCCTATTAGAAATGCAGAGCAGACACAGTGTAGAAGAGAATCCACAGCACAGCATATATACATATATACATAGCATATATACACCCTTCCTAGACCTACTGGATCAGAAAATCCACAGCTTAGCATATATACACTCTTCCTAGACCCACTGAATCAGAAAAAAAAATCTCTGGGAACGGGCCCAGTTGCTTGATCTCCATCTTGCCATCTAACTTTTTTCCATGGTTGCTTGAAAAACCGAGGATCAAACTGAACTCTCTGCTTTCACAGATAGAGACACAGGCTCCAAGAGGCTAAGCAGTTTGCCCGGAACTACCAGGCCACAGGGACACTGGAGGCTGGTCCCTCAGCTCTGCCGTGCTTGGGGCTGAGGTCTGAGCAATGTAGACGGGGATGCGGGAGAAGAGAGCTATGTAGATAGTGAGAGTCTTGGACCCTAGAGTTCGGGTTGAGGAGCCAGGCAATGGCTGTCACACTGGGCGGGTGTCACACTGGGCAGCCCCTGAGAGACACAGCAATCACACATGCTGGCAGGGGACTCCTTCATCCTTTGTCCTCCTGCATTGTCTCTGTTCCTTCTACTGCCCAGAATGAAAAACTGCTCAGATTGGTTGGACATTCATGGATCAGCCATTATGCCCATGGTACAAGGCATAATAGCAAGGCGATTACGGACAAAGGAGCGGGCAATTAGCATACTTTCTTACTCAGCCATAAAAGGGAAAATGCTTCGTCCAAACCATAATCTTCCAAATTTGCTTCTGCTTAATTATTACGTACAAGAAATAACTCCATTTAGAAAGGCTACAGGGAACTCCAAAGCGCACAGCAAAGGCACAAGCCCATCCTCCACCTTCCCTCCTCTTGCTGGTGGATGTTCCCGGACCTCTCTGCCAGCACTGATAGAAAACAGCCCATCACCTCACCCTGCAATGCTCCTTTGCATCCCAAGTGGCACGCAGCCCCAGTTCTGCTCTTCTGAGAGTTCAAGGCAGTTCGACAACAGAAAGCCCACGTGGACAGCTTTGAAGCTGGCTTTTGACCTGCCAAACGCGTCAGCCACCTTCTCATGAGCTCTCTGGCTCTCTCAGGAAAGCTCTGTGAGTCACTGCTGCCTCAGAGAGTAGAGGAAGAGAAATCACATACTGATCAAAAAAAAAAAAAAAAGCCACCTAGAGATTTCCGGTCTGACAGCTGACTTGGGCAAGACTCTACCTGTGCCCTGAACTGCCTCACCTACTATGTCCTGGAGCGAGACCAGCCAGGTGGACCGTTTTACATGAATGGAAACTGAAGCTCGGTGACGGGAAGCCACTGCCGAGCTCCCTTGGCGGCGGCGGCGGGGCCTCCCTTCCCGACTTCCCGCTTCCAGCTGCGGCTTGCCAGGGCACCGGTTCAGTTGCCACACTAGCAGAAACCTCTCTCGGCAACAGCAGGTCGGATTTCTTGGCTTGGGACGTAAAGCTGGATCTGAGCCCCCTGCTCTCTGCCTCCCTCTGGACCTGTGCCCTGCAGGAATGGGACTCAGCACAGCCACATCTCGCGCTCCTGGCGTGTGCGTGGGTGGCTCTTCCTATTCCACCCCCACCTGCCCCCTGGGCCGCAAAGTTTTTCTTTTCTTTTCTTTTTTTTTTCTTTTCCAACACTCATGACCTCCAGCCTTCACCATACTGGGGAGTGAACGTTGATCAAACCAGTTTCCAGGAGCCCTAGACAGGACAGGTCAGGACCTATGCCACCCAGGACAGGACAGGATGAGAGTTTTCCTGATGTGGAAAGGGACAAACAGGCCATTTTGGAGTTCGAAACTTCTGGATGATCAGTGGCCTGGCCTTGTGCTTGAAATTCCTTTCCCGTGAGTCACATTTGTGATTGTAAACTGTCCCTGCCTGGGTTAAGTAGCCTCTTTGGAGGACTGGTCACTGGGGACCACTGTTATTACATCCCTACTCTGCAGATAGGAAACAGCCTCACTCAGAGAGAGGAACACCGGCTTCCTGTATTATTGGTTCCTATAATGGAGGAAGGTCTCCATCCTGATGGGATCCTCACTCCTCAATCAGCTGCATCTCCCAGATGCTGGTCTAATGTACCTCCGCCAGTTCCTATGTCTCTTTCTGCCCATGGTGCCACCAGACCCCTTCAAGGCTGGTGGACTGGAGATTCTCTAAGAAGTTCTCCCTTCGGCCACCAGATGGTGCCACTGGCCCAGAATGCTCCTGTTTTCAGAAGAACAAAGGCCCCACAGCTACCATAGCCCAGAGGGGAAGCTATTGTGCAATCCCACATCCTCTGTGGTTCTCTCCTGAGGAAGGACTCTTGAAGTAGCATGGTCCTTTGTGAACTTAATCATGCCCTTCAGTTCCCAGAAGTGTCTCCATCTAGAGTGTCCCTGTAGGCTCTTAAATACCAACTCCCTCTTCCAAGATGCTTCCTACTAGCCTGTAGGGAAAAGAAGGCAGCATTAAAAACTTCATTATGGAGACAGCTGACGCCCAGAGAGCTTAAGTGTACAGATCCAAGTCACACAGTTGAGAACAGCTCAGCCACAGCGTGAGTCCAGGACTATGGGACACTCATTGCTTCTGTTTTCCCGTAAGCGTTTCCACCCCACTCCCTGTCTATTCCTCCACTCCTCCCGGAGAGGATGGACAGACATCTTGGGAACATGCCCAGATCCGGGCCTCTGAGCTCTATTAACTAGGCCGGACTTCCCACCTTTTCCTCTGCCCTGTAAGATCTCCTTAGAGGCTTTTCTCTCCCCTCAGTCCCTTCCTGGCCTGGCTTTGCAGTGACCCCTCTCTGTCACTCCTATTGTCTCCACTTTAGCGTCCCTGGCTCCCCTTCTGGGCTCAATTAAGGCCACACAAGTCCAGGAAGAAAAGCCAAGGTTCTAGATCCCCATAGCAGGGTGAAGCACAGCTCAGCAATGGAAGCTTGTGATTAGCACGTGTGAGGTCTGGGTTCAAGGTTCAATCTCCAGCAACAAAATTACAAATAACACTCTGGATAGCTCGGCCCTCAGCCTTGTCCTGAACCTGGCTCAGTCAACCCTATGCCAAGCTCCTCATCCCCCTCTGGCCTCTATATGACCCACAAACCCCCTCTCTAGGAGGCCCCAGGATGCAGCTCAGAGAAAGCTGGTGAGGCTCACATGCATCTCAGGAGGGCATCTGCTTCTAGAGCTTCCGGCTGGGCACCTCCAGAAGGTCCACCAAGTTCTTCCCCCGCAAAATGCCTGTATCCACAGGCATGTCTGCAGGAGTCACTGGTCGTGGTCTAGGAGGTTAGTCACCTACCGTGTGGGATGCCCAGGAAGGCAGGAAGAGAGGCAGTGCGTCCCTTATCTGGGGCTGTGGTAGCCAGGCCCTGAGGTGAGGACTTAATGCATGTTTTCTCCTTTGACCTTTACATTTTTATTATTCCAATTTTTCTCAAATATCTGTATTTTTATGTTCATTGGTGTTTTGCCTGTATGTATGTCTGTGTAAAGGTGTCAGCTCTTGGAGTTATAGACAACTGTGAGCTACCTTGTGAGCACTGGGAATTGAACCCGGGTCCTCTGGAAGAGCAGCCAGTGCTCTTAATCACTGAGCCATCTCTCCAGCCCCCTAGTTTTTATTTCTTGTTGTTTTGTTTGATTCTTGAGACAAGATCTCACTGTAGTACAGGCAGGCCTTAAACTCATGGCAATCCCCCTGCCTCAGCTTCCCAAGTGCCCATCTTAATTTTTATTCTCTCAGATGACTTTTATCCTAGTTTCTCACCTAGAGTTCAGGCCTCCAGTCTGGATGGTGCCCTGGCCTAGATTTAGTGAACTGGAAATAACAGCTGAGCACCTGGCCCTGCTCAATGGAGCATGCCTCACTAACACACATCCTGATGTTAAACTAGTTGCCAGAAACTGACCCTAGGGTCACTCTCAGGGTTCTTGTTTTGCTTGTTTGGGATGCTGCTCGCGTAGACAAGGGCTGTACCATTGGCCTGTGCCCCAACCTGACACACACTCTCTAAATGATATGGTTGGGAACAAACCTAAAGAAGTTATAACATCAAATTGTCAGCTCACTCCGCCCAAGCCCCACCCTTAGCTTTTCCAAGCCACACCCATTCCGCCTCCTGTCACTGCTGCACGGTTCCTGAAAAGCAAGGCATCTGGGGTCCCTTGTCAGCACCTCCTTAATCCAGTGAAACTATGGATTGATAGCCTACAGACAGAAGGGAAGCTTCCACAGGCCTGGGAACTCTGCTTCCTAAACCTGAAAATGTGTCTCTTTTGGCCTAGTGACACAGGCTGTGAATTCCAAGTACTTGGGAGACTGAGGCAGGAGGATGGCAAGTCCAAGCCCTATCTGGACTTTGAGACCCCATCTCAAAATTTAAAAAAAAAATAATGAAATGAGAGAGAAAAAATTAAATGAGAATTTGGGATGTAGCTCAGTGGTGGGATTTTTGCCTAAATTTGTGAGGGTCTAAGTTCAATCCAGAGTATTGAAAAAAAAATCTCAGAGTAGAGCTACAATATGCACAGAGATTGAAGAATTTTTACCTAAAACCCCAGAAGTGTGGTTTCTATGGTAGGACTAGGAGGCTGGACCACTCTGGGATGCACCCTTGGTTGGTGACAATGGCTGGAGCTGAATAGCTACTGTCTCTGCACCCACCATCCTCACATGTAGCTTGGCTCACAGTTTATGTCCCCTCTACCCAGTGACATTACCAGAAAGACCCCCCTCGCTTACCCACAGTAGATCCAGAAAGAAGAAATGGGACGGGGCTAGACCCTCGGCCGTCACTGACCCTCCTTCCACTTGGATCTCCCCAAGGGCAAGGAACTGAGCGAGGGCAGAATAGAGTTCGGGCTAAGTGAGCTTTAGGGGGGTCATGGGGCAGGTACGGAGGAAGAAGGCGTTAAGAAAGGAACAGGTAAGAACAGATGGGGATAAAAGGACTTTCAGAAAAAGGGGTATGGATGCCACTGAGAAGTAGGGGGACCAAGACGAGAAGCTGCTAATCTGGTGATTGGGGTGACCACTGGTCCCAGGGGTCTCCAGTTCAGGGGAATAGAACATATCCAAGGCCACATTCCAGAGTGATAAGGATTTCAACGTCATCTTCTCTCCAGAGGAGATGGGCTCAGAGCAGGGAAGCAGCATGCTCATGATCTCAGAGCTAGAAACACAGCTCCCTTCCCCCACAGCTCCCAAACCTCCCTCTTAGCTCCACCCAGGCTGTGCTTGTCAAGATTCTCTAAGTCACCTTCCTCTGAATATAGGCTTCCACTTCTATGTCCAGGATAGAGGCCAACATCAGCTTTGCAAACACCACCGTGGGAAAATGTAAGTACCTGCAACACAGGAGGTGGCCCACATGACAGGCTCATAGGGAGCCATCCCCTGGCTGGCTCCTGCTGGGTCCAGCCCCAGGAAAGACAGCTGACTCCTGGATTTAGGTCAGTCACTGCTATGGAGGCCAAAGGAACTTGATGTGGGAGTCAGGCTCACAGTCCAGTGGGGTGGCAGAGGTGGGAAGCGGGTGTAGCGGTGAACACTCAGCAGCCTGATGCCACCCTTTTAGGCAACCATCTCTTCGTGGACACGGGGCTGCCGGACTTGGCTGTGGGGCTCATCCTGTTGGCTGGCTCTCTGGTGGTTCTGTGCAGCTGTCTCATTCTCCTAGTCAAGATGCTCAACTCTCTGCTCAAGGGCCAAGTGGCCAACGTCATCCAGAAGGTCATCAACACGGGTGAGTTGGGGGAAGGCTGCAGGCCGAGGCATGGCCCAGATGGGCTCTGTCAGATGTTGTTAAATCCATGCCTATTATCTTCACGCCTCAGTTTCCCCTGTGTGAATCAAGAAGGGGTGGGACCAGGTCAATTTGGAGACTCCTGAGATACTGACAGCCAGAAACCTGGGCTGCTACTGGCTGTTGTGTGCTCTAGCAGATGGGCAGGCTTAGAAGCCACAGTTTGGTTTTTCTTGTTTGAGTTTTTTAAGGCATGGTCTCATACAACCCATGGGGCTCTAGACCTTGCTGTGTAACCTAGACTGGTCAAGGACTTCCGACGTTCTTGCTTTGACTTCTCAAGTGCTGGGATTACAGCTATGCACAGCCATGTCTAGCTAAAATCCTCTGTTTAATTGACAAATGGACACCAAGCCCTTACTGGGTGCCACAGGATACAGGAGTGAGGCAAATAGAGATGGAGCCTGATCCCAAGATCTCAGAATTGCAATTTCCTCATCAAACTAGGCAACCGGGCCGTTTTGGGCTGTGTCCCAAATGGTGACAGTGTCATAGATCTGAGCAGTTATTAGCCTATAGGCCCACCATTTCCTCATGCAACCTGGGTGGGCCCATCTTTTCAGTCACCAAGCAAACCCTGTGTCCATCTGGGCCTTCCCCAGGTAGCCCCTCACTTTATTCCCAGTAGATGAAGAAGGAAGGAATAATTTGAAGATGGAGCAAGGAGACTGCTAAGGAGGTAGAAAAATGGCAGCACAACAGAAGGCAGGAAGAGGCTGTTCCTACAGATGCTCAGAGGTCTCTCTGAGGAGGAGACGCTTGCTTGAGCAGAGACCTGTGTAAGTGTCAAATTCGGATGAAGTGGCCAGATGTGGCGGCACTCGAGAAGTACAGACACAGGGACTTAGCTAGCTTAGGCTCTATAGACAGACCTTGTCTAAAGAAACAGAAATTTTTTTTTTTCGAGACAAGGTTTCTTTGTGTAGTTTTGGCTGTCTTGGAACTCACTCTGTAGACCAAGCTGCCCTTGAATTCACAGGGATCCGCCTGCCTCTGCTTCCCAAGTACTGGGGTTAAAGGTGTGCACCACCACCCAGCAACTTTTTTTGGGGGGGGGGTGTCTCATTATTCACTCGTAGCTAGCCTGGAATTTGATATGTAGACCATGCTGGCCTTGAGCTCAGAAATTCGCTTGTCTCTGCCTCCAGAGTGCTGGCTTTAAAAACATGCACCCCCAAGCTCTTCCGTAGTAAACTTAGAGGAGGGCAGGAGAGATGGCTCCATTGGTGCTGTGCTTCTCCTACAAGCCCAAGAACCGGAGCTGGATCTCCATAACCCACATAAGAGCATGTTGTGCATGCCTGTACCGCCAGTGCTTTGAGGCAGAGATGGGGGAGCCCCATACGGCTGACCGGCGACAGGGGATCCCCATATGGCTGGCCGGCCAGTCAAGCCTCTTGATGAGATCTAGGTTCAGTGAGAGGCCTCGTCTCAAAAAAATAAGACAGAGAGAGATAAAGACACCCCAAATTGACCTCTGGCTTCACACACAGAGAAACAAAATAAATGTGAATAAAACCCAGATGTGATGGCTCATAACTGTAACCTCTGCACTTTGAAGGCTGAGGCAGGAGGATTAATGAGAGAGTTTGATGATGACTTGGACTATAGAGTGAAACTTTATCTTACTGCTACCCCTTCCCCCCAAAATCCTCCACATAAAACAAGTGGTAAAGGAAGAATAGGAGTGTTGCTCAATGATGAAGCGTTTGCTCCCCATACTTGAGGTTCAGGGGTCCATCCCCAACACTGATAAAGAGAGAAACCTAGGTAGAAGAAGAGCATTCTGAGTGGGAGGACCAGCAAGTTCAAAGCCTGGAGAGTAGCAATCATAGCAGGATTGGGACAGAGAGGAATGGCTGGCAGCATCTTGGGCGGGGCAGGCTGCGGCTAACGCTGACAGAGATACAGCCAGTTCTAAGGGGGCCCTAAACTCTGCTCAGAGCCCCTGTTTTACTGAGGGTGATGGCGCATTTGCATACTTTGGGGCAGAGGAATGACGTCCTCTGATTTCTGTTTTAAACTACATTGTGGGCACTGGGGGTCCCCACATGACAAACGTGGGGATATGGGATGAGCAAATGTCTTGGGAGTAGGAGAAACAAGGGAGGTCAGGAAGGGCTTTCTAGCAAGGTGGCTTGCGGTGGTGGGAGTATGTTTGGCACTCTCTATCTGTGGGACCCTGATCTGCAGATTCAGTCAGTCATGGATCAAAAACATTCCAGGAAAATAATTGCATCTGTCTTGAAGCAGAATTTTGTCATTTTTTTCTTGGACAATATGATATAACAAGTATTTATGCTTTTACAATGTTCTTTTTGACACAATGCAGCCCTGGCTGGTATGGAACTCACTATGTAGACCAGGCTACATAGAAATCCACTTCCCTCTGACTTTTGAGTACTGAGATTAAAGGTGTGCACCACCACCCATATTATATGTGTGTGTGTGTTCTTGTGTGTATACACTATCACTATATTGTGAGTTTGGGTGTGTGCACATGTGCACACCATGGCACATGTGAAAGTCAGACATATGAACTGGTTTAATTCTTCCACTATGTAGACCCCAAGGACTGAACTCAGGTCACGAGGCTCAGCAGCAAAGGCCTTTTTCCACTCAGCCCCTCAGCAATCACGACCTTTACCTATATTAGGTATGATAAATCAATTAGATGTGATTTAAAGCACAGTACAACACGAACACTGGCCCCAGGCAAATGCCTCACTATGTTACAGAAGCACGCTTAGATGTTGGTGTCCATGGGCATCCCTGGCCTACACCCCATGGATTTAAATATTAGAGTATTATGGGCAGAGAGAATAGCTAGGGCAAAGACACAAAAGAGTGTAATAGCCCAAGTAAGAAAGTGTGTTAATCACAAGAGTTCCCTGGGCAAAAGAAAGGAGCAGGGGACCAGCTAGATTCTCAGGGGGCAACTCCTCCCTAAGGACCTCCTTGAAGAGCAAGGAGGCCTGCTCTCCCAAGGCCTCTCACTGACATGACTTACTGTGGATTTGGGTTCCTTTCAGACTTTCCCGCCCCCTTCACCTGGGTCACGGGCTACTTTGCCATGATCGTGGGTGCCAGCATGACCTTTGTTGTCCAGAGCAGTTCTGTGTTCACCTCCGCCATCACCCCACTCATCGGTGAGTTGCCCATGCCTGGCAACAGGCAGCAGTGCTGTGGGTTGCGTGTGTGACTCAGGAAGAGTTAGAAAGAAATGCCATACTCTCTCCTGCCCACCAGGCCTGGGTGTGATCAGTATTGAGCGTGCCTACCCTCTCACCCTGGGCTCCAACATTGGCACTACCACCACAGCCATCCTGGCAGCACTGGCCAGCCCCAAGGAGAAGCTATCCAGCTCCTTTCAGGTACGTGGGGGAGAGTGGGCCATCTGTAGAGGCAGAGGGCCGGGGTGCAGGCCCAGTGGATGATGTGACAATGTATAAGCAACATCAATCGCCTGATAACATGACCCGCTCCTCTCCATGGAAATTGCTCTGGACAAAGCTGACTTAACTCCTCTCTTAAGACCTCGGTGTCCAATAGGGAGCCACTGCTGTACTGTATCCTTAGACAGCCAGTCAGGGTCACAATGTGGCTATGTGCTGCTGTCAGAGAGGCCAGGCCCAATCTGGGGGAATCAAGGATGCTTTGAATTGGGGATGGTAAGCAGATGGCAAAGGGATTGGTCTAGAAGCAAAACAGCTGACAAGATGCTGACCAATTAAAAGCCTGGAATAGGCAAGCCAGGAATTAATCTAATGCTAAAGTCAGGCATGGTAGTAGATGCCTATAATCCCAGCACTTGGAAAAACACACACACACACACAGCAAAAAGCTCAAAGTCTGCCTATTCTATATAGTGAGACCCTGTGTCAGATGGGCAGGCCTCTCAGCTGCTGGGGTCTCATGAGAGGCGGTCACTGGGACACAGGGGGAGCGTTTAGCAACACATATTTTAATAGCCAGTCTGGAGATCTGGAGTCACATCGGCTCCAGAGTTCCTCCTGCTGCCCTGAGCATGTGGGGCCTCTGTTCCAGCCCTGCTAGGCTCCCGTGGGAACGCATTATCAACCTCGCCCCTCTACATTCTCCTCTGCAGATCGCCCTCTGTCACTTCTTCTTCAACATCTCGGGCATCTTGCTGTGGTACCCACTGCCCTGCACACGCCTGCCCATCCGCATGGCCAAGGCGCTGGGCAAACGCACCGCCAAGTACCGCTGGTTTGCAGTCCTCTACCTCCTCGTGTGCTTCCTGCTTCTGCCCTCACTGGTGTTTGGCATCTCCATGGCAGGCTGGCAGGCTATGGTCGGTGTGGGTGCACCCTTTGGGGCCCTGCTGGCCTTTGTGGTGCTCGTTAATGTCCTGCAGAACCGAAGTCCTGGGCACCTACCCAAGTGGCTGCAGACATGGGACTTCCTGCCCCGCTGGATGCACTCTTTGCAGCCCCTGGATGGTCTGATCACACGAGTCACCTTGTGCTACGCCAGGCCTGAACCCCGTTCACCTCAACTTCCCCCCAGAGTCTTTCTGGAGGAGCTTCCGCCTGCCACACCCTCCCCCCACCTCGCACTGCCTGCTCACCACAATGCCACCCGTCTCTAGGCTGTGGGCCCAGACCGCTGCCCGACTAGGAAGCAGAGTGTTTATGGGGCCCGCAGCAGAAGGGCAGGGGTGTGTGCGTGCGCATGTGTGTAGATGCACATCAGTTGAGGTTCATGATTTTGTACCACCCTTGGGTACCCGTCCAGATGCAGGGTCATAGTAATGTGGGCTTTTGTAATGAAGAGGCAGTGTGCACAAGTTCATGTGTTAGATGGTGTGTCTGTGTGGCCACCAGTGTAGGAAAGTCCACGTGTGAACATTGTGTGTCAACCCATGTATGTGTACAGACAAGCCTACACAATAGGTGTGTGTGTATATATACAGGAGGCTGTATACAAGGAGCAGGCTATCTCGCCATAAGTCTGGCTGTTTGTAGATACAAGACCCGAGCTTGTGTCCTTGTGTACACAGATGACTATGAGTAAAGGTGGCTTTGGATCGGTGGTGATGTGGTTGTTCACTTGTGCTCAGGTGCAAGTCAGAATCACTGGCTGAATTCTCCTCCCTCTCTACCACCTTCTCTCCCATGTCATCTTCCTCACCCTCACCAAGGGCTTCAGCACCACCGCTATGATCCCTTTTTTGAAAACCAGAAAGGAATTAAACTTTCGTTATTTGGGACTACTTTTGCTTTGCATCTGAGCAAAGAGAAGGTCAAGACAGAGGTCGGCAGCACCATCCTCCTTCAAATGCTCACTGGACCAACAGCCTTCAGTCCTGCACACTTAGAGTCTGACTGGCCCTGCCTTCCTGAGCCTCATCCGTAATTAAAGCTCCCACAAGTCCCTCCCTACAGTCTGGAGCCACCCCAGAAGTGAATCTGCACCTCCACACTCTGGTATCCCTGCTTCTGTAAACCCACCCACATCAATCCCACATTCATTCTCCCTAAGATTAGTGCTCCGGAGTGAGTGACCAGCGGAGGCTTGCTGGGGCCAGTGGAAAACGGGGCAGGATGGTAGCTGTGGGCAAGCGAGGTCTGGCCCTGGTCACAGAGGGCAGAGGACAGATCCTCCCTCCACCTCTGTCCTATGCCTTTGGGGAATGAGCCAGGCAGCTCTTAAACAGACCTGAGCGTTACAGTCCTGCCTCTTCCATGCAGGGTCCTGGAGCTCAGGCTTGCAGAGTGGGGGTCAGCGGGGGAGGCTGCCACCCGGTGCCCTGGAGTGAGGCTTGCAGAGTGAGGGTCAGTGGGTGAGGGTACCACATTTCTTCCCTGTAGGCTAAGGCTTTCTATTGGGGGCTTTGGGCCTCAGAAGAAAAGGAAGACTGGCCATGCCCAATGACAATGCTCACACATGTGCCTGCAGTGGACCCACCTCGGAGGTCTCTGTGTGTGGTGGGATGCAGACGCCTGGGGACCCTAGAACTTTTCTGAGAATAGTCAGCTACATCCTGTCACCTAGTCCCCATACTTGTGCCAAGCAGGGGGCAGAAATACAGTTAGCCCTCGTATACCTGGGCTTTACCTCTGCCAATTCTGCCAACTGTTGAGAGAGAAATGTTTAAAGTTCCGTCTTTACTGATCGTACATGGGCCTTTTTAAAACTCAGCATTCCTTACCCAATCAGCACAGTAACTACATGGCTTTTACGTGTATTAGGTATATAAGTCACCTGGAGATCACACACCAGGGGCTATAGGTAGATTCTTTGCAAACACTGTCATTTTATACAAGAGCATCTTAAGATTTGAGTACCCACTGGTATCCTGGGGCCAATCTCCAACATACTGAGGGTCACTCAACGCCATCCTGAAACCCCACAGACCTTGGCTGCTGGTGTGTGCTGGGGAGGGGGGTGGGTGGGAATGACTTCGTTCATTTTTATGCCTACATATGTGGAAAATTCCATGAGAAGATGGTAGTAAAGCCTGAGGTAAAATCTGAGAGCCTGCTACCCCAGTATGCTTTCTCAGCTGTGACTTGTTTAGGGACCTGGGGCAGTACCATAACACCCAGACCAAAGGCATCTACCACAAGAGGAATGGACAGGGCACAGGAGACCTGGAAGCCCACCAGGATTACTTTGTTCTGCAAGGATCTCCCCATAAACTAGTTTCCTTGTTTGCACGTCCTCGCACATTCACCAAGAGGATAAACCCACAACTGTCCGTTCAAGGTTTATTCTGGTCCTCCTACCACCACGGGTGGCCTGGCGGTCCAGCTAGGAGCACTGCTCCCGCAGCCCACCAATCAGGTCGTGCACTGTCTTGTTAAGGATGCCTCCATGCACGCCTCGTCTGCCCATCAGCACCAGGAGTGCCCGCGGCGTGTGGCCCACGCAAATTGCACGCCCGTCCAGCCCCTTGGTGCGTGCATCCAGTACGCCGTCGCCCTCAGCCAGCAGGAAGTCACGGATAACACAGCAGCGGCGGCCTGCCACGCTCAGACCCGTCTGCAGAAAGGTGTGCCGGTCTGGCCCGGTGAGCACACCCACCTCCTGTGGGGAGATGGCCGCCAGCAGACCCCCGGGTCGTGATGCCCACACACAGCGGTTGTCCGAGTGGCCCACGATGGCCACATCGTCGATGCGCTGGTCCCGTAGTACCGCGCTGATGTAGCCCTTCCAGTCACCCATCTCGGCTCAGAGTCCGCCCCCTATTCCTTGCGCTTGCGCTAGAGGAGGTGACCCGCAGGACCGAGAGCTAAGAACACCGGCTCTACTCCGTGAAGTTCGCCGGGCGGGGCTGTGACGTGGGGCAAACGTCACAGAACATCTCTTTAGGTGGAGAATGTGAGGGCGGTGGAGTTGGGAGGGGGGCAGTTCAAAACGGAGCGTGTAGGAGGAAAGGGAAGATGGGTGGGGGGCTGGAGGGGTGGCGTTAAGAGCACTTACTGCTTTTTTGTTGACATACAAGGGCCTTAACTCTGACCTCTCTGGGCAAGCTCACACAGACATACATTAAGATAAAAAAAAAAAAAAAAGGCGGGCACGGTGGTGCGCATATTTAATCCCAGCACTTTAATCCCAGGCTGAGGCAGACGAATCTGTGAGTTCAAAGCCAGGGTGGTCTACAAAGCAAGTTCCAGGACGGCTAGGGCTACACAGAAAAACCCTGTCTTGAAAAAGAAAAAACAAAAACAATTATTATTATTATTATTTTGCCTGAGTGCTAGGATTAAAAGCTTGTGCCACCACCACCTAGTAGGAACTGTTTTTCACACGGAGGACTAGTGTTCAAGTCACAGCACAGAGGTAAAGCAGCTCACTGCTGCCCCCTTCTGCTCTCCTTGCGCACCTGCACTCATAGTCATAGAACCACACAAACACCTAACTAAAAATCTTAAAATTAGCTGATCCCAACACTCAGGAGGCAGAGGCAGGTGATTCTCTGTGAGTTCGAGGCCAGCCTGGTCTACAAAGCCAGTTGTAGGGCAGTCAGGGCTACACAGAGAAACCCTGTCTCAGAAACACACACACAATCTTGAAATTATAACTTTTTAAACTATTAATATAAATGGCTCAGAAGGTAAGGGTGCTTTGCCCTGTGAGCCTGGTGGCCTAAGCATCATCCCTGGAACCCACATAAAGGCAGGAGAGCACAGACTCCACAGAGTTGTCCTGACTACCACACAACACTGTGACACACTCAAACACATTGTACACACACAAACCACAATTTTTTTCTTGCTTTTAAAAGGCCAGACATAGTGGCATACACTTAATCCCAGAACTCAGAAGGCAGAGGCAAATAGATCTCTGTAAGTTCAAGGCTAGCCTACTCTACATAGCAAGTCCCAGGTTAGCCAAGAGCTACATAGTAAGATGCTGTATCCAAAAACGAAAGGGGAAATAGCCCCCATATAAAAGAGATGGGTGTAAGGACTAGGACTGTAGCTCAGTCAGTTGAGTGACGTGGACAGAGTGCCTGCCAATGATGCACCAAGTGTTGGGATGGACCCCCCAGCACCACACAAACCAGGTGAGATGGCGCAGGCCTGCCATCTCAGCACAGGGAAGACGTGTCTCCAGAAATCAACAAATAAATGACATTTTTAAGAGCAAGAAAGGTGCTAGTCTGGACAGCTAGACCTGTCCTGTAAGGGAGCCCTCTAACCACACCTAAAGAGTCATGGTGTCCCCGAAGGCTTATGAATTGCTGGCTCCCACCCCGGCTCTCGTAGCCTCAGACAGCCCTTGCCACCAGCTCACACCACCATGCCAGGCTCAAAGTTCAAAAAATAAAACAAACAAACAAACACCCTTTTTTAAAAGGTGGTGCTGGAATTTAAGCCAGGACATCACACATGCTCAGCTACCACTACCCATATCTCCAGCCCAATCTAGAGCACTCCTAACAATGCTTTTCAGCTTTGACTGTGTGTGGAATCACCTGCAGTTTTCAAACATCTCGCTACTGCCTTCTGCCTAGAGGGTCCAGTTTACTGATCTCAGGTGGGCTTGAACGCTGACTCCAGACTCTCCCCCAGGTGTCAGGCTGAGAACCTGTTACTGTGTAAACAGAATGGGCCACCTCCTTGTACAGGGATTGGCTCAAAGTGAGGCCAAGAAAGCCTGGTGGCCTGGACAAGAGATCTAAAATCTTGCCCAGACAGTGAGGGAAATGGGTGTACCATTTTTCTCTCTTGGCGTTTCAAGAGGGAATTCTGGGGAACATTATCAAAGCACTTTATTGAATTTCTGTGCGCATGCTACCTGGGCACTATCTCCACTGTGTCCATCATACCATAGTCAACCCTCACACTCCAGGGGCACACACGCGGGAAGGACTAACCCTGGTTAGTTAGGAATCTGTATGCTCCTTGATCCAAGCCAGGTAGTAGGCTACGTCTGTGTAGACTCCGGGCTTGTTGCGGTCACCACAGCCGGAGCCCCAGCTGACGACACCTCTCAGGGTGAGCCGTTGCTCTGCAGCCCCTTCTCCACATACCAGAGGACCCCCGGAGTCACCCTGGGTGGGGGACAAGCAAGCTCATCGCTCTTGTTCTGTGGTGGACAGGTAGGGTTAAAGTACCAACCAGGACCCCAGGGCTGACCTGGCAGGCGTCTGTGCCTCCCTCCAGGAAGCCAGCACAAAGCATTCCGGGCAGGATGGCGTCCCCATGCACGTCAGAGTTGGAGCAGCGCTCCTGGGAGATGAAGGGTACCTGCGCCTCCTGCAGGAAATCGGCGTATTCCTCCGCCCCTGCAAATGAGGACCTAAGCTTGCTGCATGGGCCGGGCTACCAGGCAGTTCCACACCTACCCTGACTTGGCTCCCTCACAGCAAGCCTGAGTGGTAGGGACCTGCCGGTAACAATTTCTCAGGCAAGGAAACTGAGGCCCACAGAGAAGCCGAGATTAGAATGAACAGGAAGACACCCCTTACCCTCTCCCACGCAATGTCTCAGAACCTGGCTCCCAAAATAGTTGTCCCCATTGCTCCAGCATGGGGACAAAGTCCTAGTTAAGCCTTTGTAACTTGGAGCCCAGAGAGAAGAGAAAGTTGGATTCTCTCTATAATCCTGAGCTGGGTCACTTTTTTGTCCACATGACATCCGGGAACCTCAATGAAGAAGATGCCTTTTTAAGATTGGCCTTTGGAAATGTCTATGGGGGCATTTTCTTGATTAACGATTGATGTAAGAGAGCCCAGCCTACTATGGGCAATGACACCCCTGAACAAGTGAGTCTGGGTTGTGTAAGAAAGGAAGTCGACCCAGCACTGGGGAGGCAGAGGCAGGAGGATCTCTCTGAGTTCGAGGCCAGCCTGGTCTACAAGAGCTAGTTTCAGGACAGGATCCAAAGCTACAGAGAAATCCTGACTCAAAAAAACAAAACAAACAAACAGCAAACACAAAGCTAAGCAAGATGCTGAGAGCAAGGCCACAAGTCCCTTCCTGCTCTCTACCTCAGTTCCTGCCTCGGGCCCCCTACCCCCTCCATGGTGGACTGCATGCAGCCTTATAAGTAACAAAGTCTTTCCCGCCTATGCTGATTTTGGCCATGGTGTTTATTGTCACAATAGAAAGCAAACGAGGACAAACCCAAAGGGATTTGGGAACCTCGACAGCAAATTCTAGATTCTGGAGAAGTCGTGCTTCAGAGACAAGGGCCCCTGCATGGGTTTTTGTTTTTTTCAAAATTGTCAGGTCAGTGAAACGAGTACCCAGGCTCATCGGAGGCTACGAAAAGTGAGCACTCAGCCAAAAATCTCCAGCCAGCTCCCAAACGCTGTGCTTACCCTCGAACTGGTGACCCCAGCCGGCCACCTCGCAGAGCACTGTCTCCGAGGGTGGGGCCGCGCTGATGGGCAAGCACACGGGCTGGATGTAGGACGACAAGATCGCGCAGCTGTTGTTTTCGGTTTCCTTCAGGCGCAGCAGAGCTACCACAAGAGGGAAGGGTTAGACGGCGACCTGGGGCCCCAACCCTGGGACCCCAACCCTCCCCATTTTTCTCTCTATTCCTGCAGGGTCACCCCACCCAAGTCGTGCTGGTAGGTGATGGGGGAGAAGCCCTCATGAAGGCGGTAGGAGCGCACAGCCAGCGTCTGGCACTGCTCGCAGCTCTGGTTATGGCGATCTTGACCGAGCACCACCGTCAGCTCCTCGGGCGCTGGCCTGCGGTCGGGTGGGAGACAAAGTGCTTAGGCTGGATACAGACATTCTGGGGGCGCCCCTGTTTTCAACCCCCCGGGGGAGCTCGAAAAGTGCGGAGTGAGAGGAGAGTAGGGTGTAGGTACAGTAGAGCGGCTAAGGGGTCCCCGAGGGTGGCGCTTGCCGGTTCTGCAGACAGTGAGCCGCAGTCAGCACCCAGCAGGGGGCGATGAGGCTGCCAGCGCAGAAGCTGTCGCCCCAGTACAGCGCAGCGATGTACGGGTGAGACCCAGGCAGAGCCACTAATCCGCCCACTATGCGGCTGAGCGGGGACAGTCGCTTGAGGAACCGCTGTCCGCAGCCCATTGAGCTGATCCTGGACACATGATTCTGACGCTCAGGCGAGGCTGTGGAAGGAAAGATTAGCTAAGGCCAGGGACACCCTCGGCAGGCTGCCTGGAATAAGCAGGGCCCACATCCTCTGGGCCGGGACCCCCTCCTCTGCCTAACCATCTAGCGCGTGGGACAGAGGTGGCGCCTGGGACGTGGGCTGAGGCTTCTGCAGTGTGGAAGGCTGGGGCACCGGCAGGTCCTGATGCTCAGGGGGAACTCGAGGAGGTGCCTGGGTTGGGGTCTGGCACTGCTCCAGGTCGCAATAGTCCCAGGTCAGCCTGTCGTCCCTCCAGACGTAGCACCATGGGCGCATGTCATTATCCGGATTCCTGCAATCTCAAGAGGGAACACTGTTGTAAGGAGAGCCCCTGAGGGCCCTAAGGGGAAGCAAATTGACCTGCCCAGTCCCTTCCAGCGAACCGGCAGAAGGCATGGTGTCCCAGGCCTAGGCTTAGCTTTTGCTTCGCAGTCATGTTCCGGTAGGTGGCCTCCGAGGCCCACCGCTGACATGGCGCCCCCGATAAAGTGTTTCCAGCCTTGCCCCGGTAGCTGAGTCCCCTGTCCTCGTAGCAAGTCGCCTTACTATCTAGGAAGAGAGGGGACTCCCTGCAATCAGGGGATGGCTCTGTTGGTGCCCTCTGGTTCACTTTTCCATTCTCCCTTATTCACCTCCCCCAAGTCTTTTCCACATAGAGCCCCACTCACCTAAGTCGCAAAAAGGTCCAGTGTAGCCCGCAGGACAATGGCACAGTTGGTGACCCTCCACCTGGAGGCAGCTGCCCCCATTGAGGCACACATTGGTGCTGCAGGCTAGGGGAAGGTGCACACTGTTCCAAACCTGGGCATACCATGCCACCCAGCCTCCTACCAGGGGCTCCTGACTTTCTGCCCTCCTCCCCACAGTCGCTACACACCCACTTACCCTGACTGGCCAGCGGCTTGCAGTGGGCGCCAGGACCCTTGCATTGGCACCTGGCCACACCTGCTGGCCCCGTTCTAAACCATATCTCATTTTCGTGGAAGAACTGGAGAAGCTGAGGCTCAAAGCACT